TGAAGTTTTGGAGGCTTTGAAGTTTTGGAGGCTTTGAAGTTTTGGAGGCTTTGAAGTTATGGAAGCAAATGGAGTTTTTGAGGCATTGGAGTTATGGAAGCAAATGGAGTTTTTGAGGCATTGGAGTTTTACGAGGCATTGGAGTTTTGGGGGATTTGGAGTTTCGAAGGCATTTGAGTTTCGGTGGCATTGGAGTTTCGGAGGCATTGGAGTTTCGGAGGCATTGGAGTTTTAGAAGGCATTGGAGTTTTCGAGGCAATGGAGTTTTAGTGGTTCTGTCTGTGTATGCGAGCGTACTCACATTGCCTTCCCCGCAGAGCCGCGTGAGCGCGCGCGTGACGACGCCGGCGCCGGCGCCGCTGGCGGTCCAGTCGTCGGCCGCGACGCGCAGGGTCTCGTTGACGCAGGCGGCGGCCAGCTCTCTCCCGGGCACCTCCCACGAGAAGTCGAGCACCGCCGCCGACACGCCCCCCTCAGCGTCCGCGCACGCGAAGTCCCGCAGCTCCCCGAACGGCCTGCGCACGCGCCAGCACACACGCTCGGCCCCCGCGCTTAACACGCGCGATCAGCACACGGCCCCAGCGAACGCGCTTAGTCAACGCCGTCTCCACAGAGGGTGTGTCTTCTCAGCACAAGCTCTCAGCGTAACGGCAGAGGACGTGTGTGTGTGTGCGGTGTGTAAGAGTCTACTGTGCAGTTTTGAGGATGCATAGATAGTCGGTGGAAAGGGGGGAACGATATCCAAAACATGTAAAAGAACCAGCTGGTAGCAACAAGGTAGTAAGAAAAGCCACAAAGACAACATAATAGGAAAGAAATGGCACACTAATACACGAAAGTATTATATAAGTACGTAATTCGATTTATATGCGTCTGGAAATAAATTATAAAATGGAAGTGGGATTAACTTACGTCGAAAAAATGAAAACAGAAATATTCAATTGTTGGAAATAGACAACCTAAATGAATGGATGAGTAAGATATTGTGATGGGACGTTTAAGATAAGGGTTAAGATAGTACTTAAGATTAATTTTAGCATAATTAAGATTAGGGTTAAGACAGTTCCTACGATTAATTTTAGCATGAAGGTACACCTCGATCATAAAAATGATTATTAAAGCATTTTAAAAGGAATGAAACAATGTGTTTGAATGTAGTGGTAGTATTAGAGTTAGCTCTATCGCGCATGTCTCCTTCTAAGGAGTCCGCAGATTGAGCAGCCAGGACAACGCTGGGTTGGACGAAATTCTGGTAATCAGGTGAGTCGGGGCAGCCACACAGAGAATGTGGTTACAGTATGATTGAATGAAAGAAGCACGAATGAATTAATTGAGCGTGCATGGATGGGCGAGAAAGTGAATAAATGGCTGGATAAAGTATGAAAACAGCTTGTATGAATGGATGAAGCATGGGTGGGTCATTGCATGATTTAATGGATGAAGCTTGGATTGATCAATGGATGAACAAAGTTTGGATGAAGAAACGATGGATTGTTGAATGCCCGGAGTTTGAGAGGAAGGATGGATTAAACATGAAGGAATAGATGAATAAAACATCCAAACCAAGGAAGATATAGCTGAGTAAAACATGAAGGAAGGAAACACACGTAAACTTCCGCGGCTCGAATCCATAATTTTTTGGCAATCCGGGAGACGCCGCGTCGTTGGCTGGGAGACCGATGTTTCGCCTGACATGTCGCCGGCTTCCTCACTAGTCACTAGCCCTGAGGAAGCCTGCAACATGTCAGGCGAAACGTCGGCCTCTGAGCCATCTACGCGGCTCGTCTCTCGGCGAGCCAACAATTTATGAAGGAAGAAACGTACGCGTGCAGCACGAATGAATTGTTGGGTGAAGCCTGGACCAACGGATGCATTCGTAAAGCGTGAATGACGACGCAGCGCACAACGCCGGCGAGCGAGTCGCTGCCCTGACCTGAGCACGAGCACGTCGCCGT